CATTGTATCGTTCACGAAAAAAAAAGAAAAAAAAAAAGAAAAAGGAAACGAGGAAGGAAAAAAGCGCGAGAGAAAACGGGAAAGGGAAGCGTGCGCGGTAATATACACGCGTAAACGGGAGAACTGCTTCACAGCTTTGCGAGAACGCCGTGTTGTGTTTGTACGTATGCCCCGATCCGAGGTGCTCCGGTATCATTAGAGCAGCCATTCGAGACTCACGCCCCCATTGTCCGAGGGCGACTTCTTGCTCCTTTCCCTCCGGTTAACGCCGGAGATTCTCAACAGCCTACCGAGACAATGCACGTACGTGTATCGTGCATCATATTTCACGGTCGTTCCTTTTTATGTCCGGCGCGTACGTATCGTCTCTGGGTCCCCTGGCTGGAGACGAAAACCCCTCGGACCCGGACCACCGTGGTTAAAATGATTTCGTCGGCCTCCCGCGACGCAGTCCGTGCCAGTTATTCTTATCCGCTTTTTGCCCGTAGAAACGCCGCGATTTATCGGACGAATCCCACCGGGATTCCATTCGGGATCGAGAAGATACGTCTCTCTTTCGCCGAGGCGAAGTTTAATTGTTAACGCCGCTAATTGTTTTTCGTTCGACGAGATAACGCGCGCGTGATTCTCTCGGCAAAGTTAATGGAACTTTCGATAAAAGTAATCGATCGGTATCCAGGAACTACGTTGCGAGACGCTCATTCATCGGACGTTGACTCTCCGTAAAATTGAGAAGAAGAGACGAAGAAAGAAGAGAACGAAATCAGGAGTAACAAAGAAACAGGGAACTAGAGTGGAACGAATATTTAAGTGTTGAGAGATAATTTTAGAACTGAACTCGTCTGCGCTTATGGCCAGATCCCGGAAAAAGATCAACTCGATCGGAAATTACATTAGCGCCGTCAGACACTCTGGTAATCGATAATCGTTAAATTCAACCCGGAAGGCTCGAGTGTTACACCGAGGTACATGCGAACATGCATTGAAATTTATTAGCTGGAGAAGCGAGGGACTGTCAATGAGATTGTTGATGACTTTGAATAGGAGTGGCCGAGGATTCAATTTGATTCCACTTCCTTGAGTCGCGGCCGAGAAATGAACATGTGAAAGAAGGCGTTTAAACCGCAGGAGTTTTCAAACCCAGTGAAAAATGAACAACCCATAATCGAGATGATGCAATATGTCAAACTGTCTATAAATAATAAACAGATTGCATTTGTGAGAAATTTAAAAAGGCAAATGAGCGTGATGTACATGCACAATATGTTACATAATATTTAACGAATAAAAAGAATTTTGATTCAGGTTTTAACTCTTTATACATCTTTGTAAAAATGTGAATTTATATAAATATCTGCAGTTTAATTATAACTGCGAAAATCACCTTGTTGGCCACCGGAAGTAACCCCGACAAATTACACCGATCACGAACGTATTAAAAGACGGCGAGAAACTTCGTTGGCCGTATTGGTCGATAAATTTCTATCGAGCCGGTGTTATCGTTCGTCGCTAATTATACCTAGTTGTCACGCTGAATCTGGTATTTGCGCCACCTTGTCGTCCCGCGCGTGTTCACTGATCCTAACTCTCGCTCCAATGAAATATCCCCGGGACGAGCGAACGCTAATCGGCTGCAATCGTTGTCTCGCGGGGATCATTATCGGATCGTTGCACCGGCTAGAATTAATTTTGTCCGACGAGCCGTGCGGATTCGCAAAATCCCGGGGAAATATCAGTATCGAATAAATTATCTCGCGTTCCCGCGAGATCCCCGACAAAAGCGTCGAACGAGATCGTCCAAGCGTGAACCGAACCATTTCGCACGCAACCCAGAGCTTTTTCTTCGATTTCTTCTTCTTTTTCTTCTTTTTTCCCTTTCTCTCTCTCTACAAACATATCGACTTTACAACAAGAGAGAAAAATAATCTTCATGGTCGAGGTATATGATATCGTATCTTCGACCCGTTTACAAGTTGGCTATCGCGGCGGTCGGTGCATCACATGCCGCGATAAAACAATGTCGGTCTTGTTTTCAGTGGCGCAGGAATGCTAAAGACCGGTGTGTAAGAAACGTAACAGCGAGTCTTGCTAGCTGTACGAGCGTAGGACAACAGCGCCGCGTCGAGTCAAAGAGTTTCAATGATTTCCGCGAACAACGCCAGATATAGTCGAACCTTTTGTCACTGGGATAACGCGGGACGCTATCCTGCCTATTTATCTCGCGCAGATGCGTCACCGCGATGGAAATTTGTACGCGAATGCGCGACGATGCGGATAAATGGGAAGTTGGAGGAAGAAGTCAGTAAATGCCGCTAATGTGGACAAATATTTTCAAAGATGTAAAAGGCGATGATGATTTGCAACTGCAAAGTACTACACAGCACAGAGAGAGGACAGCAAGATAATTCTCGCTGTGGGAGAAGAGAAATTCGGTGTGGAAACCGGAGGAGAAAAAGGAGGAGCAAGAAGGAGAAGCTGGAATCGGAGCGGTTGAACGATTATACGGCGATCTTGCGATCTGCTTAGCGTTACAAAGAATGGCGAGGAACACGTGTTCGCCGTTGCGGCTGGACACGAGAGCAGTTGCAGGCAAGTGCAATGCTTCATCGCGCTGCTTGCGTGCACCGTGAACGTCCCTTTCTTAGGCGCTGTGCATACCGAGACGCTGTCCACACGCGCGCGCGCGCGCGCCGGTTTAGCCGTGCCGTTATTGAATAATAAACTACTTCGCTGTAATTCACAATAATCGTATCTAATGGAGAGAGGGGGCACGATACATGTTTGTTTATGAGGTAATTGATCGTCGTAATAGGGAGACAATAAAGCTGCGAGTAGCAAATGACAACCATCTTACTATTGCAAATCGGTTCTTCTCCTTGTACATCTCTTCCCGTTTTTTTCTCACATCTGACTCTCGTTCTTTTAAAACACCAAAAGTGAAATGATGTTCGTAATTCGAGAACGTGCACGTACAGGCAAAAAGCACTGGACAAAGGTAAAAGATGAGTTAAAGGGTGTTCTTCCTCTTCGAACGGAGAAGAAATTTCTTTAAAACATTAGAGGCAAGATGGTCGTCTTTGTATGGTGCAAGGGGAGAACGACGTTTAAACGTTGATGATCGATGGAGCACCGGCACACCTGACGCGCCAACCGTTTCTCGCACCCCATGCCGTACCTTTAAAACGTTGCTTATAACAAACTCGCCTCGTGTCAAAGTAGCGCTATTAATTTCATTCTACTTAACACGGGGCGGCTATGTACGTAGCCTTAAGCCTTAGCTTGCGGCGCGCGGAAAGCCGGCTTTTTCTGATTTCGTCGCAGTAACGTGCATTTACACGTTACGCCCTTTGTGTGCGTTTCACGCACGCGAGCGAGACTACTTCAGTGGCTGCGGGCGGTCCGATCTTTCCTGACCCCTCTTCTTTGCCTTTAAGTTCTCTCCGCGGCGCTTCCTACTCCGCCACGCAGGGGCGTAATGATTAATTAAGCTTTCCAAGAAAACGCAACAAGTGAAACGTTATTAGTGCTTAGTGGCACAGTTTACTTGTTCCAGCGTCTCGCTGCTCCTCCCCTGCTCCATTCCTCCTTTCTTCTCCTTCTCCTTCTCCCACTTTTTCTTCTTCTTCTTCCCCTCCCTTTTAAAGAAGCTTCTCCATGCCTCTTCGGCTTCATCGTCTATTTCTCCTACCGCGATCGGGGAGATACATCCCCGGCGCAGTTTTAATAATTACCATGGCGAAATGAACTGGCGCCTGGCCGCTCTGCGCACCCTGCTAGACGCATGCATGCATGCCCGCCGTTCGCGCCTTGAAAATCGAGAACTTTCGAAATCTATGGCGGCGATTATCCGCCGTAAGAACTGTGCATGATCGAGAACATATGCTTGGCCATTCATTTCGCGTGAAATCGTTCTAAAAACGCGGCCGGTATCCCGGAACGAGGGAGGAGGATTCTCGTAGCGATTTTCATCGCTATCTAGAGCGTTATGTTGAATTCTGTTTGCACGCTTTAATATTCCTGGTAACCGCGCGATCCTTGATCACGTTTCTAAATATACACGCGGTGCGCATCTGCGCGAAAATGATTGGTCGGATGCTATTAATCTGGAATCGCGATGGAATAAATCATTGGACGTGTTCGATTAATCGCGGGTTCGATTCGAGAGATACGCGTGTCCGATCGTTTGGAATTCAACGCGTTTAGAACCGATGACGCAACGTTTGCGTCATTGACCGAGACCAACGTTGTTACTCAATTCTTGGACTGCGAATCGAAAAAGTCATTCTATTAGTGAAATCAGCTAGAATGACTCTTGTAGACATTGTATAACGTTGTATGTATAACAATGACGCGTGCAGTAAAAAGATCGGATACTTGTGTCTGTATTTTTTGTTTTTGTTAGAGAAGAAGAAAAGGAAAAGATGCTCACAATGTTGTGCTAATGGAGTGCGAAAAGATAGAAACCGAGAGATATTACAAAAAGAAAAATATGATTATATTTTTGGTAAATTAATTGCACTTCCTTTCTTGTAAGATACTGACAAAGTTGCTGTTTTATTTATCTATAAATGATTCATCATAAGAAAATAATTTTGTCGGCTATTGGGAACAGTCCTTTCAAAATTCTAAACTATTCCAGTCATTTTTTTTTTTTTTTCATTGATTCTTTCTTTCACCTATGTTGGAAGATCATTCACCGGTGGCGAAAAGCATTCAACGAGTCGCGACGAAGCGGTCCCCAAAGCTCAGGCGCTATTCAACATGGTCGTAGTACGCACAACGCGTTACGCATCTGAGGAAGATTATCACATTCTTGAAATGTCTAACCCCTACGAGAAGACAGCTGAAAGATAGATGTTTTGCGCGATAAGGGGATAATTGACTCGATTCAACAGTCGGCCGGTCGTTCGTGAAAACCGCTTCTAGATTGACAACGACGATAACAAATTGCATTCCATTACGTCGAATTAATTAAGGCATCATTGCAATCTCTGTTTCAGATCGTTTCTAGCTTTGACAATGTTGACTGCGGCCAGTGTCTCTTCTACCCACGTGCCTGACAAGTATCCCATCGAGGTAACTTTCCATCGTGATTGATTTACACGCGGTATCGATTGACGGACCCTTCGACTTTCAACCATTGGAATTCGAAATGAATGCATAATAGGAAGGTGTAAAAGCTGCGGCAGTTATGGAACGTTACGGAACGTCGGGGACAAGAGGAATATGTACTCGTAGTTCGTTTTATTTCGCTCTGTGTTACCCATAGTATTTTTAATAATAAACGTGACTTTACGTATCAATGCGTATCTTTTGTTTTTACGTTGTTTAGAGTCAATCGCAGCCGACGTAGCTATTTTTCCAACTCTCGGCAGTAATTGTGAAAAGTTACGGCCGATAAAAGATGCGCAAGGTTTTGTATTTCGACGTTGATGGGTGATGGGACATGTTCATTAAGTAAAATGGTTCCTCCAAGTTCGGATTTTCAGTAATAATTTAGCGCGTAACCTCTTGCCGTTTAACTTACAGCCGTAACAACGTTATCGTAGCTACTATCTCGTCCATTGCGATATTTTATCTCGAACGTGCACGGTCGGCCGGTGAATATTAATTTAATCCACTTACAGGAATTAATAAGCAATTACGTAGACGTTATTCTGGGTGGCACGACGAAGATAATTAATTGACACTGGAGCAGCTTCCTAAATTACATGCCGAGCTGGCTGCTGCATCCTTCAAGGCCGGGGCACGAAACGACGAAGCACGAAACGCAAATATACTGACGTACACCGTTCTTGCTGAACGCCATCGCGCCTTCTTGTTTATCCCGTAGTTCTTCTGGCCGAGTCTGTTTAAATGGATCGTTTGTTTTGGAAAATATTGCAACATCGCTACCTCGACCTCGGGACCGATCATGGTTGCCTCGCAGAAGAAGCACTGAATAAACGTTCTTAGTTAAGCTATCGCTCGCGCGCGATATATGCCCCATTGCTTCTCCGGCAAAGGTTCGTGATCGTTCTTTAACGAGGAACGCGTGCGTAATTGTACCAACGAAGTTGCCTCGCTTCGTTTTAAAGCTACTACGTATGTACACCCGATGTACGGTTGAAAATCGCGTCTAAACCCTTTCATCTTGGTACTGCTCCGTAAAATTTTCAATCGGTCTAGTTAACCGGCACGGAATGCCGACAATTTGGTGGCAACCTGTTGAACCCGGAGCAACGGCGGGATAACGGCGTTCATCGTCGATTAAACTTACGTACGTCGAACGGGTCGTTCCAGTTAATTGTAATGATTGTGATCGGTCGGTCAATTTCAATCGCTCTGCGCTAACAAGCCGAGGAGCTTTCTACTCGTACTACGGCGAGAAGTACGTACATTCTCCTTCGGTCGAGTCGTATTTTCGGTGTGCCCTCGGTTCGCGAGCGAGAAGTCGGAAGTACCTCGTTCAAGGGATGGTAATCTGTGCCAAAATAATCCTGAAGAATTCGATGAATTCTTGAAAGAGCCCGCCGCCTGTCTATGACTCTCCTCTTATAAAACGTTCGCGTAATACAAGCTTCTTATCCGTCGCAAAGACGTTCGTTACCCCCGTGAAGAATCCTTTTGAAAGGCTGCCGGGACAATGAGATTAAGATCGTTCATCGTGGAAAGAATCTTGAAACGCGGCTCCATTATTCAGAGCTGTTGCGCGATGCTGACCGCCCTCCTGCTTCTCCTCCTTCTGTCTCTTTTCGTTCGAGTATTTTCGCGTTTTCCCTCTCTCCGTACATAATACGTGTACGTATATTCCTCTGGATATACACCACAGACCAAGTTCATACGCGATTAACGTTCCAGAGTTAATGTCAGTCATCAAGGAAGTGTTACTCCGTTTTAACGGTTTAACGACTTTCCTTCGAGAGCTCGCTCGAATGTCGTCGTCGAATTCACCTGGTGCTCGCGCCGAAGTCAAATCGCGATTCGTTCGTCAAATCGGAGGGCTCGTCGATAATCTCGGTACATTATTATTAGAGAAGCCGGCGGTTTTTTTTTTATCAACGCGATTAGGAAACGTCTCAATATCCTCTGTGAATTTCTTCTGTGTGAAACGACGAGAACCGCGATGTATGTACTCAATTACAAGCACATCGGAGTTTATACCTGCGTACCGGTATCGATCCGTCTTTCGGTTAATTACAGTCTCGCGAATGGTCTAATTACAATCTCAATCACGAAAGTACCGATATTGATTACCGAACAGTTTACATGCGAGTTGTAGCGTTACCTCTCCTCCTCTCTCTGTTGTAATTGACACGGTTGGATTATAACGCGAGAGCCGTTTGATTATCAGCAGCTGGTGTAATTTCGTTCACCAGCCTTTGATTGATCAACCCGAAGAAGCTTCCAGTAAAATTAATTATGTCGCGCGATTATGTGACATCTCGAATTCCTTGCGCACGAGCCTGTGAATACATAATGTGTGTAACAGAGCCTTTACATCGAAGATTTAACGCGTATTCACCTGTGCGAAGGAGAGGCAACGGTTAGCTCGAGCGACAGAATTCAGGCAAACGCGTTGAAATGTTTTCCAGGTCTATCACATGCTGCGGGAGAAGACTCAATTCGCTCTTGGTCGAGATAATCGCATAAGAGGAACCTGGGGCCCGTGGAGCGCTTGGAGCGAGTGCTCGCGGACTTGTGGCACCGGTATTCAATCTCAGTCCCGCGAATGTGTACCGTATCAGTGAGTGAAGCACTTTTTCATAAGCTTTTCATAAATGTTGCGACCGTTCTCTCTCTCTCATTGCCTGCTTTGCAAACGTAGAACGCAATTAACAAGTAAAACTATCGACGACTGAAGTGTAAAGAAATTCTATCCGAAAAATTAACTCCTTAACGATTAAAACTTTTTATCGATTTTATTCCAAAGATATTATAACACACGTGTTTTTAGTACTTTTAATATTTTAGGTTTGGTATAGTAAAGTACATAGAACGCGATTGAAATCACACGGTAAGAGGGTGGTAACATATTTGTGTACAAGAGATCGTGTACTTCAATTTCAACGGTAATCACAGGTTTCGTCGATACCGTTAACGTTTCACGCGATCGACGATCGTGAACAACTGTTCCACGATTTTGTGAAATGAAATTCCGAAGAATTCATCTAACGCTAAGCCAATTCGTACCATCAGACGCAGAATCATGATTGCCGATTTCTTCCGCGAGATCTTCTAGCCTTGAACCAACCGGTCCGTGTGAGCTCGATATTCCCAAAGCTTGACACGTTCGTGGCACCTGGCGTGTACGAGCGAGGAACACCGAGTATCGAGCAAATTGCTGATCGGTAGCAGAGGAAGATTACACGCTGGCGCGCCGACGAGTCGCGCGAACTGCCCCGAAACGTGTTATCGTCGCTGACATTTACACCTTTGTAACGCTACCAGCGCGGTTACGTGACTTCGCGAAGGGTTTATCGGTGTGCCAGCGAGATTCTCGGCCGGCGATAAAATAGTTTAAGACCCGTCGTACCGTTAAGTGTGTTTCGAGGGTAAAGAACGAAAGACTTTTTAACTGACGCCTGTCTTTTGTTTAAGAAAGTTTAAGTTTTTCTCTCGGAATAGAATTTACGCGCGAGCAAATTTATTGAACCAATAAATTGATTCTCTCTTGGATTGCTAAAGTTTTTCTACTTCTCTTAGGTATTGAAAGAATTATCTAATTAACTACTAAACTAGTTTAATTTCATTACTTGTTGTACCATGGATAATCTGGTATTAACCCATTAAGGAACCTTTCAATATATCAATTCTCCGAGATTTCATGATCTAAGAGAAAGAAAACAGTAGCGACAGAAAGAGACAACTTTAGAGTCTTCGATGGCTAGATTTAAATTAAAATTCGGAGAAAGTTGCAAATGGAATATTGCGTTAATTTTTTACTCTTCCTAATCAGTAAAAAGTTCCTCTACTCCTCATGTTCAACTCAACTTACTAATTTTCTACATCTTTTAACTTTTATTAAAAATTAAATTAAAATTAAATGAAGAACCATGTGACTAGTTCCCTCGAACGCGCTGCAGGTGAAACAAACTTTACGCGAGGTAAAAAAGCGAAACTGAAATAGACCGCGTTAATGTGATGCGTGCACTTACACGTGCCTACTAACTAAAAAAGTACACGAAACGCGTTAAGAATCGTGAAAATGATTTGTGAAAAGCGATGATAAATCAATGGCCGATAGGCACGAGTAATGCGATCGATTTGTTTCAGGCGACTGTTAAGGAAACGGAGCATTATCTCGGAGAACGGCACACGCAGCAACTCGCGTCCCATTTGCATTGGTACATATAAGCGATACCACACGTGCAACACGCAGGTAAATCAACGCGACACGTAATGCGAATCAATGTTTCTACGCCTTTGCACCCTGTCTGAGCCGAGTGATAAATTAACATTTGTATTTCAATGACCCTGCGCGCGGTGCAGTCTTTCCACTAGCCACGAGGATATTAATAAATAAAAATTACGATAGAATAACTGAAAACGATCGTCGATTCGTACCTATTTTACCTAACCGATCCTGAAAAATATCTGCAGATCTTGGTTGCCACTTAAATTCTGCGTGAAGCGTGTAGAATTCGTTGGAAGGATTGTTAGAAAGGTTCAACACGCGGAAAGGGAGCTGCATGATGAACGCGAATATATACAGTCAGTCACAGAAGTGACTATGTAACGTTAAAATTTTGGAAGTGGTAGCGTGACTACTAACAGAGCAAATAAACCTTTATACATATATTAATATAAATTACCACGGTTATGGTAATAATAAAGATACATTTTGTACATTTTAATGTACTCATCTTCCAATAGAGACAAATATAAGAACGTCGTTTTTTTTTTCAAGATTTATATAGCTTTAATTTTAATAAATGAACTCGTTCGTTGTTTTTATTTAAACAACTAGAATTTGCTAATACAACGTGGACTTTCGTGACTGACTGTAAGTGCATCTATCATAGGGTCGTAGTCAGACATAAGAGAACAGATGCATATCGAAGATAGCTAGGAGGAGGTTTCTTTTCGACGGTACGTCACGAGTCGCGAACAAATCATCACAGAGGCCAATTAAGAATGCCCACGACGGTAATTTATATGACTGGCTAGCCAAGTACACCGGTGTTGTTTAAAATTCTTAAAAATAATCACCACCTGCGGAGTTAAAGACTCGCGCGGTAATGGACGACTTTGGCCTCTGTGCAGGTACTCGCCAACGATAATCAGGCCTTCGTAAGTATGAAGATACCCATCAATATGCCTGTGGGTTCACGTCCGCGAAACCAACACTTCCGCTTCGATTCCAAAGCATCTCGAATCGAGTGCGAATACGCACGTGTCGAATGGAAATCTTTTGAAACCCTGGTCGCACGTGTTCGTGGGAATCGAAGACTCTCATAAATCGATGATATTGAAAATTGAACAGAGGTGTAAATTACAAAATGTTCGACGTTGAAAGTTCACCATCAGAATCGATTGACTTCGAGTTGATCGTAATGTCGTAACCAACAAACGATTTTATCTTCGTGGCAAATGGCAACTTTTAACTACCAAGGTGGGAGGGGGGGGATATCTTGTTTCGAGACAGGCGAATTTTTACGTTTTGTTCTCGAGCGAACGCATGCTAGTTAATTTTCTGCGCGTTGCAATTAAAAACTTTTGCATGTTAACCATTTGTCTGTTTTATTTTTCCCTCAGCGGTGATGCCGCAACTCGGCTAGATTTACCTCGGAAACGGTGGTTTACAAACACGCGAGACTATTCACGGTTTTACTGGCTGGTAATTAATCTTCCACCCGGAAATTACCAGGGTAACGCTTCTCCTCTACGTACGCATCTTTCCCCTCTGCGTGGTATTCTCGTTTTCTGCGCGTTCGTTCCGAATGCGCGATTCTTTTCTCAAGACCACCGAGATTCATTATAAAAGCACGAAATTCGCTGAATATTAAAAGAAAGTCGGACAGTCTTTTTCGTCCCTTGAAAATTTTTCTGAATTTTTCGTGCTCCCTCACACAATCGAATCTGTGAATTGCATTTTTGCATTTATCGACCTGTGGAGATCTTCGAAGCGATCTGAGAAGCGACAGCGTAACAATTTCCCCAGCGATCGATCCTTAATTACCTGGAGTTTAATTAAGCCGTTGCTTGCAACAGAAATGTCCAAACTTCCCGGAGGATTTGCGGGCCGAACAATGTGCCAAGTACAACGGAAGAAACTACAAGGGCGAGAGCTACGATTGGGTACCATTCCTGGACGGTAAGCTAAAGTCGCTCAGAGTTCCGTTCTGCCATTTTGTCGATAATTTAGCGTTAAAGCGCGACGTACTAATTACCATGGTACGAACGAATCTATTTCGATTCACGGTCTGGCATTTCTTACAACAAACAACCTTGCTTCTTTGATCTTCTACCGGAATAGATATGAAAATGACGAACGACACATTTAAACTATAACTTTCTAGAAATCTCTCCGCTCAGTTATTTGTTTCTTTTTTTCCACTTTGAACTAATCATTCTTACAAACAAATTTTATACAAACTCGTTTTTCTCAAAGAGACGCCTTTTTTTCTTTTCTGGTTTCACAAATTGCGATTACTGTTGGCCAGCGCCGAATTCCTGCGCGCTCAATTGCCGCGCCGTTGGCGAGCGTTTTTATGCAACGCTTGAACCGGCAGTAATGGACGGCACACCCTGCGACGCTCCGAATCTTCGTGGACATAATGCCGGAATTTCTATGGAACGTACAGACCGATGGCTCTGTGTCGCCGGACAATGCAAGGTACGATGAGTCAAACGCAGAAGTATTCCTCCGTGTCACGACGGGAAATTAATCGTGGTTCCCTCTCCTCGATGCGATCGGTCAAATTGGCGCGCTATGTTTTTTCTTTCGCTTTGCATTCTTTTTTTTTTTTTTTTAATTACGGGCTTGATCGCGACACAACTAGTTAACCGTGTCCCTTTTGTTCGTTTCGCTGGTGTTTCTCTCTCTCTCTCTTTCTTTTACTCTCTTGTCTACCATTGTCTCGTATTTGTATTCGATCCCGTTGTTCGACAGGCATATCGTTTCACGCTGATTTTCGAACTGTTTCAGCCCATTAATTCCGTCCATTATCGCCGAAACACCATGTTGCACGTTCCGTATGGCATATCCATACAGAAGTCCATTTTGAAATGCTTGTATTTTTTTACTCTTCTTCTTTCTTTCTTTTCTTTCTTTTTTTATTTTCGCAGCCGGTGGGTTGCGACGGTGTGGTAGGTTCCGGCGTCACGATGGACGCTTGTGGTGTCTGCGGTGGTCAGGGTAAAGGTTGTAGACTGTACGAGGGCATTTTTATGGAACCAATCCTGCCGCGGGGTCATCAACCCGTAACCACTGTACCGAAAGGAGCCATGTCTCTCAACATCTCGGAACTACGTTTCAGTAGCAATTTCCTAGGTATTTCGTGACAAAAAAAAAAAAAGATAAAAAAAATATAAATAAAAAAAAAATAAAAACACATCCGCTCGAAAACCGCGTTTATTCAGGGCTACGAAAGCGGAAGCCTGTTTTTCTCGATGCTTTTCTAACGCAATAATCCGATGTGTTAGCGTTGAGAGACAGCAACGGTAGTTACATCCTGAACGGACCCTTGGCTTACAGTCCAAGCGGCACTTATAAAGCGGCTGGCACGACATTAACATACCAGAGGGGTGACAGAAACCGCATGGAGTGTATCTTGGCGACCGGGCCACTGAACGATTCTTTGCATTTAGAGGTACGCTCATAAAGATGTCTCTGATATCTCGCGGTCGTTCCAATTTATTGGATCGATTTCTTTCTTTCTTTCACTTATTTTTCTTTCTTTCTTCCTTTTTTTTTTTTTTAAACACCATCGAGGAACATTTCTCGACTTGATGTCGTACTTTAAGCGCGATGTCACACGTCGGTGTCACAAGTATTGTACTTTTAAATTATTCTCCCAGATTCTGGCGCAGGAAATGAACCCTGGTGTGCTTTACAAGTATATGATGCCGTTTGGTGAGAAGCCAGCGATAGCCCCGCCACTTTTTGCGACAGGTAATACATCGAGAAAGGCTTAAAACCTTTTCATCATTACGTGACCGGCGACTTACGTGCAAAATACCGAATGACTTTTACTCTTTCCTTCAGGATCCATCGATCGTGGCAACGAGATCCCCGAGTCGGATGGTCGCGTCGGTCTGACGATTCCAGTAACCAGAATGTAAATATTCCGAAATATTTTACATTTTTATCTTTATGAAAATTGATCGCACGACGATCAGTCCAACGAAACAATTACAACGCGTTAAGAGAGAAAGGACTTCTTCGTTTTTCAGATCCAATCAGAAAGCAGACTTATCACCGACAATTCGCAATCAAGATCGAGCACGGGCTCGTGAGAGGGGACGGAAGGAAGAGATGAAGCATTCACCGACCACTGTGATGGCCGGTGACCAGCCAAAGTGGAAGAACAAAAAAAAGAAACGTCTGCGATTCTCCTGGAAGGTTGAACTGACTCCTTGCTCCAAGGAGTGCGGAGGAGGTACGTGATTTCCCGATTTCTTCGTCATTTATCACCATTGTACATGAATAAGAAAGAACTAGAGCTGCAGGTAGTTCGAACTTTCACGCTTCCCACACGGTTCTAATCTGTACCAACTGTTTCGACTGGTGAGGTCATGAGCTCGATTTTTCGGACGAGCGGTAATTAAACGAGCAATTAGTGAAAAAAAAAAAACGCGTAGATAATTAAAGCTAGCTTTTAGGAACCGGCTGGCAAGCAGCTCGACTAATCGAGACGCGCGTGGGAAGTTGTCCGTGGCTCGTTCGTTTCGGTATTATCGCCCGAAGTTCGGCCAGAGGGCCGAAGTGAGATTACAACGTCCGATTCGCTCGTCGCCATCGCGGAAGTACCGTCCAATTCACGAAATTTATTAGCAGGAAGCCCCACATCCGTGACCAACGTTCAACGTTACATTATTTTCCAGCGGCCGCCTCTCCGGTTTCTCTTTGACGTCGGTACGTTTACACGCGACCGTGTCCGATGCCGCGTCGCGAACGCCAGCACCACCGAGATTTTTTTCATTTAGACTGACGGCCCATACGGGCGAGATCGAGATAACGTCGAGACAGCTGTCACACGGACCACGTCCTTAATTTCCATTCTCGACAACGATGATAACTGACCTCGAATACCGCGCGACCCTTCAACCCTTTCGAGCCACGTTGTCATTTCACAGCGACCGAGAAAGTATTGCTTTCAAACCGAATCAACGTTGGAACTATCAGAATAATCGAAATGATCAATTCGTAATTTTAAATAACTTTGGATGGAACTTTACGACTTCGTCCAAATATACAAATCAAATCCCTTGCACTTCTCGTTTCAAAAGTCTTACACTTTTTTGCGGTTCGAGTGTTAAAACGTAACGAAATTGGTGCTGAATGGAACTGTCGCTTCGGTTTTCAGGCGTTCAGACGGCGATCTTCAAGTGCGTCCGCGAGAACAAGCAGGTGATCGTGAACGACAAGCGTTGTCGCAACGTGGGAAAACCGCAACAGCCAGCCCCGTTGCGTTGCAACGACAACCCTTGTCCACCTAGGTAATTCCGCCTTCCTTCCTACGGCGATTCGCTTCCGAAATTAGTTTGCACGTCGAATTTGAAAACGGATGGAAACACGGATGGTTTCAGGTGGAGGGCCGAGCCGTGGGGCGAATGCTCGGTCACCTGCGGCACTGGGAAAAGGACCCGAAAATTGGAGTGCGTGCAGGAACTGAACGCGAACTTGACAATGCGACTAGCAGCCGGTGCGTGCGTACAACCACCTGACCTTAGAACCGTGGAAACATGTACGAAACCGGCTTGCACGAACAGCCCGGAGTTGAGGCACATGCACTCTCAACACGATACACCCAGATGGGACGTCGGCGCTTGGGGTCCAGTACGTCGTTTTTCATTTTTTTCCCTTTAACGTAGACAGAGGCACTCCTCCGAAAGTGGTCTCTCCACTTCCTTCCACTTAGAAAAATAGTCGGAAGTTGAGCTAATGCAACGGTTAAGTGAAACGCATTTTGTACTTGTAACGGGTGACACAGTTTCAGCGAGCTTTTTACGGTTCCAGTGCTCGACAACGTGCGGGATGGGAACTCGTAACCGGACGGTGACCTGCATCACGCCGGGAGACGCTTGTTCCGCGTTCAACAAACCCGAGTCTCAGAAAACCTGCGAATCTGCGCCTTGTATACACATCGGTATGGAGCATCGAGCACCTTGGCTCTACTCGGAATGGTCGTCCAAGGTAAAATCAATAGCCCAAAAGAAAAAAATCGTAAAGCGCGGTACATACGTTGAAAGTGTTTCTTTATCTTTGATTCAGTGCTCGGCAGAGTGTGGTAGCGGAGTAGAGACAAGGCGAGTGGCCTGCGCCGATGGCAGCGAGCTATTCTGCAATCCCAAAGAGAAGCCGGAAACGGAGAGGCAGTGTTTCGGAAGAGGATCGAACTGCGACAGCGCGAAGTGGTTTACCGGTCCATGGACATTCGTTAGTAATAGATAACCAAACATAGAATATATACATATATCTCGCGGTCGGTCGGATCCTTTCCGACGACGAGGCAACGCCATCGATCGGTCGCTATCGTCTCGATTGAACATGCACCGACAAATATGGTTTCAGTGTTCGGTGTCTTGCGGAATGGGTGTCCAGTATCGAGAAGTCCTTTGCGTCGCAAGGACGAACAACGAATTCGTCGTGTTGCCGGCGAGCAATTGCAGCGGCTCGAGGCCAGTAAACGAGCAAGTATGCAGAGCGAGCGCGTGCACACCGACATGGTTCACCTCGAACTGGTCGAAGGTAAATCGCGGCGCGCGTAGATTTACGATCCGCCCGACCACCAGTGGCTTCTCGACTCTGTGATGCAAATGCCGGTATAAATATCGATGTAAATCCGACCGACGCCCGGTCTTTTACAGTGTTCGGTGACGTGCGGAACCGGCGTGCAAACCAGGCTGGTTCGGTGTATCCACGAGGGTGTCGGCAACTCGAATTGTGAAGACGCTGCGAGACCTAGCGACCAACAGCAGTGCGATCTGGACCCGTGTAAAAAGGAACCTTCGTCGTCGAGCAAACCACCGAAAAGTGAGTTGGATTCCTCGTATCTCATTCGGACAATGTTGCATCGTGCATTAACGAATTAATCGATTCTTAACAATTTCAGAAGCTTACGAGGCGTCGTCAGAGTGCGTCGACAAGTATCCAAATTGCGCACTGGTCGTGAAGAGCGGTTTGTGCCGGATCAAGTACTACAAGTATTCATGCTGTCGATGCCGCGAATAGTCAGTTCGACAATACGACAACGAGCCATTATTTCAGGCAGGTTCAATCGTTCACGGTCGCGGCCGTTTTGTGTTTGATCAAACTCGTTGTTTTCCTTCCTTGGTTAAATGTAAACGGGGAGGATGAACGGGGGAGCTCGGCGAGCAATAAGACTGTGACAAAGAAAACGACCGTATTACGTGTAATTTTATTTAACTGGATGATCAGCTAATCCCGCGTAGCTTTATATCTTCTGTTGTTATCTTACTCTAGCGCAGTATGCTGCGGAAGAACGATTACTTCATTCCCCCCCCCCCCCCCCCCCCACGAGAACCGTTCTCGACCCGGAAACTGGGATAGTAGGTGAAAATTCGCTAGTAAAATTCGCAGAGGAATCAACTAGTCGTTCGAAGAATAGACGAGCAGACGTTTGTAAAACGGAACGCGGAGAGCATGATGTGTCTGTGTACCAGAAACTCGTATCGTACGGCATGTAATGCACGTGTGTTTTACGTGTGTAGATATCTGTCTGTGTGGCCGCGTGAACAGCTAGCTGCAGGGCCGTAGTTTTGTCAATGCATCGATCTTGACCTTGTGCTCCAATTCCGTCGCGTTCCAAGACCGATGACACCGATAGCTTGACTTCGAAACCTCGTGCACATACACGTCGTACACGTCGGGAATGAGAGCGAAGCAAAAACACGTGAGTATCGATAAAGGCTACATAGGTGGGAGGTTATCGAATTTTTCCCAAATGTTGCGAGATATCGTGAATTAAGTAGGGGCCGATAAATACCCATTCGATCGTCGACAAGGAACACAGGGGATTATCATTGTTACGTCCCTGGATGAGTTGCGATCCGATTTGCATGCGCGTTCGACGCGAAACCTGTACGCCCATGTAACCATTTAGGTAAACCTGCGGGCTTGTGCCCGGACAAGCGTGGACACGCGAAACGAAACGAGCTCCGAGTGTGTGTACAACTAACATACGAGCTGTCTGCAGTGTCTCTCCGCGAAAAGAAGAAGCAAAACGCGTCGATCGATACGGCTGCGTGTGCTCTCGATGCATTTCGATAGGTAAGCTGTATTAGTTGCAATACGTTATTTATGTGCCCGCATAGGCCAGTCGGGTCCACGATGGATGCGAGCCACGGGTAATTTCTGTCATCGAGCATTTAATTAACATATCGCGTCGTACAGATCCGGTAATTTTGATTTACGACTTCGACTTATTGACAAATTCATCCACGACGCAAGGACAGCTCGACGATCCTGTATCGGAAGCACGTCGATGTCCTTTCCCCGCTCGTTACATTTCTGTCTCGAGGAACAAGTTCCAGAAACGCGTTCCATGCCTAGGAAAGTATTTCTATACGTCGGAATCGTGCTAACCACGAGGGAAAAAAAAAAAGAAAAAGAAAAAGGTATCAAGACGTTCGTGTATTCGTCGTTTCTATGTGGTCGATGTCAACTGATTTGCCCGTTCTTAATATGCGAGCATAGTTGTAGGATAATAACTATAGCAATGGTATCGAATCAAATATACGCTTGTCTCTGTGTAGAAAGTATACTGTATACGTAGAATCGAATTTAATTTGTCGGTGTCTTTAACTCCGTAGAAGTCACGAGAGGTTTTCCGCGCGTTGTTAATCGACAAACGAACCGGAGACCTTTACAAAATATAGACGTCGAGTTAAGTTTAAGTAGGCAACGTTCCGAAACGATTAACGGAAACCTCGTGAAAATTGCGTCGGCAATCAATTCTCAGTGTCAATTAAATCGTATTCCGGTTTGCCTTCTCGATATCAAGGAAGTCTTGTGCGAGCAACGTTAATTCCGAATTTCGCTTTGTGTCCCTCGAGAAGCTGTTCTAATTTCTGTTGCAATTCATTTCAATAAACTTTCCGTTTTTCCTTGTATTGTTTCTTTACTTTACACCGACGCAGGCTAATCCTAAAGGTAAGTGTCGATTTCCCGAATTATTTTAGACGAGGCACAATCTTTTTATCCTATTCTTTCGTTCGACTCTTTTCCTATTATTCTCCATTCTTTCTTTCTTTTTTTTTTTTTTTCTTCAGTTGCTAATCTTTATTCGTTGTGTACGCACGTTATAGCTGCCGATACGAACTACGTGTACTGCATGTATGTACGAAACAATCCCTTCAGTTCAAACGTTATTACTGATTCAACCGAACGCATCTAATTACACAGTTAAACGTTGGCAATGACTTTACTCTACCAGATTGAAGAAAAATTGCTCAACCGAACGTCAACTCTCACGGTAGATCTGTATACCTATAATTGTACCGTATCCTCGTTTATTACTGGAGTATTAATATTTATGGCTGTGACGCGCACTATGAATGGTAAATGTACGTGTCTCGGCGAAGGGCATCTCCCTACGATGTTATTTAAATGGCCAGCAAGTGCCGACTTGTGTTGTAAGGATAGGAAAAAGGAGTAGTCGGGCGACATTGAAGAAAAAAGAAAGAAAAAAAAAAAGAATTTCAAGTACCTTACACGATGAGGGCATGCGTTTCGTAGAGATACAACCGATGTATGCACTCTTCACCATGTAATATATTCACACGAGAGCGTTACGTTTTGTCTTCGCACTTAGAAACCATCACTTGCACAAATTGAAACTCGATTCCAGCGATCAGAAGGATCGATAGGATAGATAGGATAGCGTAGTTGAACTTCATTTTCGAAACTGTTTTTATACTTTCTTCTAGTACATTTTTCAAAATATATACATACATATTTTTTCATACACGATCTAACTGAAAAGTCACAGTTCGATCTATGAAAGTAACCGCAGAGAATCTCTGCTGTGATTCGTTTTCGATCTCTTCAATATTTTGCGTCTACTTTCGGTAATTTTCCTTTCCTTCTTCTTTTTTTTTTTTGTGAATAAACGTACGTTCATTGTATTATCACATTCGCTCGAGATATATAGCGCTCGCCAGCGAATGTGATCTCGTCAAAGACTGTGATATAATCGTAGTCTCTTGCAGGAGTGAAGTACAACGAAAAATAATTAACAATGGATTATCGATGTAAGGAACTGACAGTTCCTGATCGTAAATGTGTATTCTATGATATTCAAAAGAACACTATCTATAACACGAGAAGTTTTCATAAAATTAACCCCGTGGCTAGATCCTACTGAAAATAATGTCGATCACCTCAAGTACCTTTATCGGAGTGGTTATTTTGTGAAAACTTCTTCCCGAAGATTGTCATTGTATCTGTTGTAGAGATGTGTAAAGGAAAAATGGAGAGTATAGACTGATCGGGGAAATTCAATGTTGTACAGTGTACATCATACATGGATGTTACGTGTTTTAAACGTGGATGTAATTTCGGATATTATTCTCAATAATCGGATACATGTAGGTATACTATACACCTGATATTGCTCAAAAATTAACATGAAAATCCGAAATGATAAAATATTCGAATCGAGCTTATACGTCACGGAATTATTGAATTAGATTCAAAACCGAATTGAAAAATGTCTAGCAAATAAGGTAAATCTCTTTCGCGTAATTGTTATCAACCAAATTTCAATTTTTCGAAAATATATTATTCGTGTGTTGATAGATAAGATTTTGTGTATTTGCTCAATAAAAGAACAACAATCGAAACAAACTATCGAAAATCCGATTTTCTGAAATAATATCGTAAACAAGTTGTCGCGACAAGAATTAAATTAATAATTTTTATCAATTTAGATAAAACTTTATTATAAATTTATACTAATACACAACATATAAATATATATCAATATATATATAAAAAAAAGTAAAAAAAAAACAAAATAATATGTATATAAATATTAAAATACGTATACTACGAAAGATACTAATATCAGCTGTTAATTTTATATATAATATATATGTATTATATATAATATATAATATATTATATAATGATATTATATAGTATATATAGTATAATATATAATATATATGTATTATATATATACATATATATATTTCTTGCAAGCAAACTGTATAAAGTGTCTAAAATATTTGCAATACACACATGGCGGTGATTAGTCGATTCCATTGCTCATGGATACACCTTTTCCAGTCCATCGTTCTTTCAATTCTACTTTCAATCCCAGGTCCCTCAAAGCCGCCTTCACGTCACTTTCAATCTTAGAATCATGTTGTTTGAGGGCTTTTGCCAAGACGTCCTCTACACCATGAGTAATAAATTCTGAACACTCTGCCTTATTTCTTACAGACATATTCCGTATAGCCCAAGCAGCTTGTTTCAAGACATTCACGCTTTTAGGATAAGCTTTCATCGCGTCTATGATTACAAGCGGCGCTCCGCAATCGTAAAACACACCAGCGTTTGAGGAACACCTCAGTGTTAATGCAGAAATGCATGCAAGTCCTGCGGTCACTACACACTCAGATTCCTATGATACGATCAACGTTTCAATCTTCTCTTATCAATACAAGATCTAAACTAATTAATGGACAACATGTATCACAAAAAGCAACATCACAAAAATGCAAACTTACTCTCATTCTACTTATGGCAGAGACAATTAAGGGGCCACAACCTGACATTATAATGTGAGACTTTACATCATCATTTCCAGCTAGAGCTTTCAACAATTTCAAGGCTTGCCAATTTAATTTCTCTGAATCTGGATAATCAATCATAACGTCTATAACAAACTTTAGCCCTCCTGCGTCTTCTACTTCCTGACAAAATTCATTCCGAACGATCAATGCTGCTAAAGTTATTATTAAATCACCCACGACCCCTTTGTCTTTTTTATATTCTACATGCAACAAAATCAATCTATTAAAATTTTTTAGATACATAATCATTTGGAACATACAAACTATTGAATGCTATTTACTTGGGATTAACCCAGTAAGGACATTGAGAGCTCCTTTTGCAATAATAGTTGCATGCTCATGAGCTTTTCCGTATTCCTGTCTGATATCATCGTCTAACACCAGGGCTCTAATCACAGCGCAAGCATCTCTTAACTCAGGCCCAGACATATCATCTCGAATTAATATTTTCTTAAGCTTGCTAAAAATATCTGCATTAAAAATGCCTTGTCTATTAAGCTCATGTTTTATACAACATTCTCTTATCCATCGTAACAGCAATTGTAATGTTGAAATATCTGAATATGTATCTAAAATCCTAACAAAGAGAATAATGTACAAATGATAACAAATAATGAAGTGTTGCTCACTTGATCATAACTAATAATAGCTTCTTACTGGATTTGTAAAGCTATTCCCTCATCGTTTAGCAAGTCTGGATTACCAGTCATTAATGAAGTAATAGTTTTCAATGCTGCTTTTATGATAGTAGCATTATTAGAACATGTTTTCATTAAATTTATTAAAATATTATATGTGCCCATCTTTCCTGCATATACTCTGCGTGCAATATCTTTGTCTAATTGACTCCTCAATTTGTCTAATACATGGTGAATATTTTCATAATTCCGATCCCCAATTGCAATATTAATTTGATTTAAATAAGATATAATTAATTCATTGTCATCATTGAGAATTAAATCTTTAATGATGTTGCTCAAGTCTATACCCTATAAAAATAGAGGTGATAAAAACAACCATGTACTTATGTAATGTGCTCTAGATTATTTGAATTCTACTGTTCTTGTGCATCATACTTTTAAGTATACTATCAATTCAACAATTTAACGTTGCGTAATTGTTAATATGAAAATACATTAATTAAGTGATATAAAAATAATGAAAGTTTAATGTTTTACCATTGTATTAATACTTATGAAACACATATATAATTTAATGGAAAAGATATTTCTGATGTTACAGTATAAAAGTATTACTTGCTTAAATTAAAATTTCAATAACTTTCATGTATTGAATGACACTAAGATTTTCACTGTTCTTTTGAATGATACATTGTACAATTCGAAGTACACTTATAGCAAATGAACTAACATTTTTTTACCAATTTCTAAGTCAGAAAAGCAGAAATAAACAATAATATTTCAATACCTGAGCCTCAAATTGTTTTACCGCGTCTTCTATAGCTTCCTCAGGAGTCATTGAAAATTGTTCCATATTTTCGTTAACAACCTCATTGTAAGTTTCCTGACTAATAACGCGAACCATAATGCTATATCTTTGTTCACCGTGTCCCGAATCTCTATATTAGGAAATGAATGCTGCTTCGCGAGATCAAGACGTGTCTTATCCACGTGAGAACAAAAAGACAAATGTCAATCTGATCGTGTTCTGTAATGTACCTATCACGAACAGATTGTAAAATAGTGGGGAGAAATTCTAGGGACTATAATACCTCATTTTTGCTTTACTTTACTCTGCTTAATTTATCTCCTTTTACCAGAAACTATTTATTTTACAATAATTTCTTTCAATATTACCTTAAACTGAAAGAAACCTGAAAGCGACTAACAACTGGTATATTCAGTGAAGTCATATAACATTAATATCAATTGATTTATTATATTTTTAATTATTGTTATTAGTATTATATAAAATATGATTTTCAAAAATAAATGATAAATTCGCAAAAGTATTATAAGACAAAAAGTACATGTAAAATACGAAAGCGAGTAAACATTGTGTTGCGTATCCGCCTTATATATCACGAATATAGTTTAATATATACAAACTATTTAATATTATATACAAACTTTAAATGCTATAAAATTACGCACGTTTTTATTTATATGTATGTATATATTTATTTTGCAATATTTTTATTTAAGAATTATCCAAACATACGTAAATAATCCTTCATTTTATCATTATTGATCATTCGAGGTCTTAATTAGAAATTTTGAAAGTTTTATTTACTCTAAAATTGTATTCGAGGCTTTAAGCTATCTGAAAATCCACAACGAAAATAAAAAGATTTCGGAAATAAATTTTTTAAAGTAGGTTTCTCATCCTGACAAAACATAAGCAATGATCGATTGCAGCGCCCTCAGCTGCTTAGCCTGGCCTAACCGTGTTCGTGCGTGTTGCGATCAGGGAAAACAATTTTGTGTCACTTACCATTTGATCCTTCCAAGTTTTTCTGTTGATTTATCGACAGCTGGAACTGAGATCCTTGAGAATTCGATGTGCCGAAGTGTGAAGGTAGTGTTTCTGATGTTTATTGGCATCACGATTCTTGTATTGTCAGGTTTCGTTTTCGCATCCCCACCGTCACTCCGTCGAGTTTCTTGTTCGTTGGAAGCCTAATCATTTCCGAGTCACTTTCGGGCGTTGTGTTTTCCAGCGTGCGGGAAACGCGATAATCTGAAAAGCGGATGTTTTATGAGAATTCAAAAAGCATTGTTTCTACAATTATTCACTTATCACGTTTGTGAACTGTGTTATGTCTTGTTCATCATTAAAGGCACTACACAATTTCGCACGAAGTCGCCATGTGATCAAAATGAATTGTTATGATATTTGTAAATATATTTCCGGTTCAATGAAGCTGCAAGTTTCATAAAATTATTACAGTTTTATATTTCATTCTATAACTTACCAGTTTCAAATGCTATGTATGCCATTCGTGTCATTGGTTGAATAGACATAATGCATTTTTCTATTTTTTTTTCATCATAAAATAATATTTTTCACGAAATTGCAGACATTTCATAAATATCATTTGTGTTACAGGAATTGCATTAAGCTTGAATACGCGATTGTGGATATGAAACGGCATGAAATAAGTATTTGTTCTAAGGAAAAGGTACATTTGAGCTGTGGATCTCAGAAACACAAAAGAGAATGATAAAATTATGATACATCACATTATCATGCATGACTAGTTATTGTTGTGTTCATATCAAGTTACTTTAATAGATTTTGTGTGTCCAGAGAAACTGACACTCAAAATATCAAATAGATTCATCATTATATACATTATTATATATATATACATACATATACATATACATATACATATATATATATATATATATATTTATCATACAAGATTTTTTAAATACAATTCTATATATACATACGAATAGCCTTAAATGAGAGTTACTGTAAGTTTTCTGGTGCCGTTTTATATATAATCAATAAGAAAATCAAATTTATGAAATAACAAAAATCACTTTTTAAATGATGCTCAAACTGTTACAAATACTTTTAAGTAGTGTACATCAATCATTGAACAAGAATCTGTTTTGACACAACTTGTGGTATAACTACAGCGAAGTAAAAATGTTTCAAGTCTAAGAAGAGGATGCACAACAGTCAGAAGAGATTATGTTTTGTGATTGTAGTGTTGTGCAAAATTATTCACATTTACATACTATGTATGACTGACAAATGAGTTAATTCTAATATATTTTTCCATGGAGAAAGTAATATGTTAATGTGATCATTTCTTAATAAATTTCGGATAACGCTTCATTTTTGAGGAAAGAGAAACGGTGCTCGTGATTGCGAGCACTCGGAAGAACTAAGAGGAAGACTTTGTACCGGTACGAGAATTTCCTCAGATTTTCAAATTTCAAATTTAAAAAATCGAATGATTAAAACATTTATGTTATTTTTAGGCGCTGAAGGTACACGCGAGGAAGTCCTAATGCTGAAAGGAAACTTATCACCGTACTTAGACACTCATAACGAAGAAGAGTCGTCTTATGTAACCCTCAGCAATAGGCCAATCGGTATTTGACAATTTATAGTTACAATAAGTGTAACAGATTTAACGTATTTATACTAATTCTCCATTTTTATTACAGTATATGTAGCCGAGTCTTCTAATACGAATCCCAGGAATAATCACATCCTCATAGATATATATTTTTTAACCCCTATCCTTTGTAAGCATTGTAAGTATCTCATTACGTTATTAGCTACATTTTTTTTTCTACAATTATATTTATCTTTTCATGTTTCATTACAGGTGAAGATTATGTTTGGGGCACTGGAAGAGTGGGAGTAAAGTGCAAAGGTGAGTTGTTAGAAATAGATAAATATTTGACGATGAATATTGCTGCAATTTTACTTAAACACTGAAGGAAATTTACCTTGCAATCGTCCGTATCGTACGTAGATCCGAAAGAAATTGATTTGAAATTCGATACCATAAAACAAACATTTAAATCCGTAAAAGAAACCGAAACGAGTCGATGGACGCGAACATTCATTTTTTTTTTTTTTTTACTAACGGTCACTACGAAAATCGCAGGAAAAGCAATAATCGAGATATCGATAGTTTTCATATTGTAAGCTGCACCGACAGCGCGAAAAAATTCGCGACGCAACCGCCCTCTTCGAAGGTAAGTCGCAGAACTCGATAACGCGGTTCATCGTTGTTGTTTCGATCACCGTCGAGGGCGGCACTGTAGCATAGTAACACATGTCGCGGTGATTTCAAGTGATGTGCTATCGTGTCCCCCTTCACCTTACCTCGCATTCGTTTCCAGCTCAGCCGGCAGTTTCTTTTCTGAAACTCCACAACCCTCTCCTGTCCCTCTTATTCCCCACCACCGACGTGTTACCATCGTATGACCCAGGTACGTATCTACTCTCTAATGAGCTTCGTTCCTGTAGCGTTTAAATGTTTATAACTTCTTGAATATTCGCTAAACCGTGGCTGTTATGCTCTTAAGCGTCCGATCGATACTACATAATATCTATTAATAATCCTATTACCTTTGTTATTTAATCCCCCAATTGTAAAGAGAAGAACAGATAGTGCAATGTTATCCCCCACTACAAACTGCTCTTCTATTATACTCTCTTATTATAACGATCGCAACGATTTAAAATAACTTTTACTGCTGTTTCGGTCCTTGACATCGGAAATCTTCTGTTTCTCGTATTCTTCCCGACGCAGATGCCTATTGACTTCGATGGGTACAATATCGAGCGAATCTCCGCGATTCATCGAGTCCCATCGTAATAAGGTCCAGAATTATTCTATGATAACTCGCGTATCTTTGGCGAGCATGGATTCCGAATATAGACGTGGCTCGCCACGAATACGTGGAAGATACAAAATTAGCGAGCAAAGAGAGGTAGAGGAGGACAGAGGTTTTATTCGTATCGTTTCACGCGAGCATATATTGGCGTTTAGGCCAGCCAGCAGCAGATATCATAGGCTGGCAACTGTGCAAACGAAATTACTTACGTTTCATTGGATTTCACGCTCGCAAAAGGAAACTACCGCGCGGCGATCACGTACCGGACGAGCGCGCGCGAGGCAAACGCTTTTTCACTCGGTCGCATTAGCACGAAATTGTACGAAAGAAAGCAGAAATCTGAGATACAGTTGATGTAATGCGTTTACGTAGAACGGCCGTTTTGCATGCTGGTAGTCGCTCGTTTCACTCGTCGTAATCGTGCGAATATCAACCAAGCCTCCCGTGCATTCGATTGCGGAGAACACCTAACCGCGATGTCCAAGTAGCCCTACGTGATCTTTATTCGTTGACAGAAGGTAGAATAAGAAATAAGGGAAGAAATAACGAAAAAGTTGCGGCAACACACACATTTCTGGACCCTTTCATGACCTACGTTCTTCTTGCAACTCTGATTTAGCACACCGAGTTTCGCGGACATACGATGATTCTTCGTTTCTGCGATTAGCTTTTCTTTATGAGAACGATTATCTACGGCAGTTAATCGTCCATTCTTATTGCCTTCATTATTCACGTCTGATTTAGTTATTTTTAAGAGATTTGCTAATTCTTTATTCTGCACTCGGCTCATTTTCTGGACCAAGATATTCGTCATATAATTATTTGGAATGTCCATCGTGTTAATTTTATTTTTACTTATTTTTACGATTAGAGTATATGATTCTCCAGTATGGCATAAATGGGATTCTACACAATTGTAGTATCGCAGGATTAACGTTGATAGATTACATTCATTATGGTAGTCATATACGCGGTTCGTAAATAGACGCGTTTACCAAAGAAAGGAATGAAAACAGAGCATGTCTAGATAATAGATGGGACGGGCCATCTTAAAGTATAATTTTTTTTAATTCAATAGAGAAAAAGGAAACAGGAGTGAAAGTCTGTGCAATCGCATGGTTATGATAGAAACTGAGCGCGGGAAAAAAGGAGCGGAGAGACGCTGGATGAAAGAGCCGTATCAAAGTATACTCTCATATAGTCTGAAATAAGAAGACTGCAGACTGCGGACTGTAGACTATTCAGATCGCGAAGATATTCCTTTTCTTCATATGAATTGGTGATTTTTTCGTTTCGTCGTTGAAAAGAACCGTGGTCGCTTTAGAATCGAACAAAAAGTCAAAGAA